TCACCAGTATTCAAAGACCACCTCTCCTTCCAACACTTAGACATATTATTACAAAATCAGGGCCTAGGAATGAAGTATCTACAGATGTAAGCCAAAAAAGCTTAGGCTGATGGACACTTCTTTCAGACAATACTGAAATGGTTTCTAACACTAAGGATAGGAATGAATAGGAGATAGAAAAGTACTGGTTCTATGAATGCTAAGAGACTCTGGTCAGTGAGTCAAGTTCCTACTTTAGGGTTTATGACAGGTAATTTGTGTGTCTGTGTCTGTGTGCGTGCATGTACACATGTTCACACACACACACACACACACACTCACACACCCCAGACCTGAGGCTTGATCTCAGGGCCTGGGCACTGTTGTTGAGCTTATTTGCTGAAGGCTAGTGTTCTACCACTTGAGCCACAGCTCCACTTCCAGCTTTTTGGGTGGTTAAGAGTCTCATCAACTTTACTGCCTGGATTGACTTCAAATCAGTCCCCAGATTTCAGCCTCCTGAGTAGCTAGGATTATAGGCATGAGCCACCAGTGCCTGGCTTGTTACAGTTAATTTTAGATCACCGATTTTATTGGTTAAGGGATGCCCAGTAGCTACTTGATATTATTTCTGGATGTATCTGAGAAGTTGTTTCCAAAAGAAATCAGCTCTTCAACTAGTGAACTGAGAAAAGCAAGTATTCCCAATGTGGATGACCGTCATCCAATCTGCTGAAGGTCTGGCTAAAAGGTGAGTCTACAATCTGCTTGTTGGGAGATTCATTCTTCTCCTGCTCTTAGGCACTAACATTGATGCTCTTTGTTTGCTGACATTTAGAAACAGACCAGAGGGCTAGAGGTGTGGCTGGAGTGGTGAAGTTCCAGTCTAGCAAATACGAGGCCCTGAGTTCAGCTCCAAGATTTTGGACTCATAGTATCAGCTTTCCTGGCTCTCAAACTTAAATGATTTTCAGCCTTCCTAAGACATGGGCCAATTCTTATCATTTATACAAACACACAGACATGCATGCATGTATCCATACATATTTAAGTGTTCCTATACTTATAAAAGAGTTACATCCATCATAAAGAGAAAATATTCTAGGTTGAAAATGCATTTACTCTATACATGCCTAATATTATTGCTTAGCAACACAATGCACTGTGAAGGATCTGTCAATTATTCTCAGGGTTATGTGGCTTGACTAGGAGTTGCTTTGTTGCTACTGACCAGCATCTGGAGAAAGCATCCTACCACATCGTGCCACATCGAGAAGGATCCAAATTCAAAATGCAGAGTCAAAAGCACCATTAAGTCAAACCACAGTAACATAGGCACCCTTTTGTTGTTTGTTTCTCTGAGAACCCTGAGTGATACAGTGACAAGAACACCTCCATGTGGGTCTCCCTGTCTCTGACCATGCTGTGTTCCCATTACGCCAAATGCTCCATTTTGCACCCAACATACCTGTGGGGAAATAAGGCACAGTCCTCTATTTAGGCATCTAAAGTCACCACTCTTCTCTCTTCCCCAACACTAAACACATGCACGCGCACGCACACGCGCTCGTGCACACACACACACACACACACAGAATTCTTCATAGTCTTTAGTCTACACCTGAAAACATTCTTCCTTTGGCTTTCTCTTTCCAACTCTCTCCCAGTGAACTCTGGGAGCTCTTTAGAAGTAGAACTGAGTCATCCAAAAACTTATCCCCTTTCTCACAAAGGCCTAAAAGCCTAACAACAAACACTTCCAGGAAAGAAAATAACAAAAAAATAATAGGACATTTACATTATTTGTTAAAAAGCTACACAAGCCAGATACTGGTGGTTTACTCCTACAATCCCAACTACTCAGAAAGCTGAAATCTGAAGATTGCAATTTGAAACCAGCCCAGGCAGGAAAGTTGGTGAGACTCTTAATCTCCAATTAAGCTAGCAATGGAGGTGCAGTTTAAGTGGTAGAGCATCATCCTTGAGAAAAAAGCTAAAGAGCAGTGTCAAGGCCCTGAGTTCAAGCCTTAGTACTGAGACACACACACACACACACACACACACACACACACACACACAGAGAGAGTAGTAATAATGAAATAGAATGCTTAAAAAATGATTTTCCCCAGCATAACAGCAAAAGAATAGTCCACACCCACAGGGCTGCATTAAAAATAAATACTTCTCCTTTCTTTGTACTGAGTCTTGCAAAAAGGCACAAAGTTCACAAATACATGTATTTTCAAAATGACATAAGAACTAACCTGGTTATCATTTTAGCAACAGAGGTAAGAGATAAGAACATTTCAAGGAAAACCCTATTAGTACATAAAGCACCTGGTATCTCTGAAGCCCACAGCAATGTGAATGGCCTTTTGAACTCTAATAGGCAAAATCAGTTACAGCTGTACATGGATTATTGATGCCTTACACATCAAAGTTCTAGAAAGAGCACTGTGATGATGACATCTCATAAATTAGGGAAACAGCACCAAGTTTCAGTCTTCCTGCATGCTCAGGAGAGATGGACAAAGGAGCATGCATCAATAGTCCACAATGGATCAGCTAGGCACAGCGTTGTGCACCTATAGTGTCAGCTACTCTGAAGGCTGAGCCATTGGCCAGACAACATAGCAAAACCCCATCTCAACTGATATAATGAAGCATTCCAAATCTAGCATCTAGTGCCAAAAAATTATATGTTGTTGCTGTTCAAATTATAAATGTTTATATGGAACTCTTATATCATCTAATCACTCTTTTATGCTTAAAAAACATCCATTGTAGCCAGGAGCTGGTGGTTCTTGCCTATAATCCTAGCCACTCAAGAAGTTGTAATCTGAGGATCATTCGTCAAAGCTAGCCCTAGGAAGGAAACATATTAAGACATTTATCTCTAATTAACCACCCTTCTCCCCCCGCCTAAAAAAAAAGCCAGAAATGGAGCTATGGCTCAAGTGGTAGAGTTGTAGCCTTGAGCAAAACACTCAAGGATAGAGCCCAGGCCAAGAGTTCAAGCCCTAGGCTTGGCACACAAAAAAAACTGTTTTGTTTTTAATATCTTCTTAAGTGAGGCAATCATAAGACTAGTAGGTATTTTGGATATTCCAAAAGAAATACACTAACCAAGGACCAACATTACAGCCTGAGCTACCTTTGCAAATGATGGGCAAGAGCAATCAAACAAGCCATATTCTAGGTACACTCAAGGGAGCACTCAAATAGTTCAATTCCTTAGAAAGGCAAAGTCAGGGAAGTGGCGCTGTGGCTCAAATGGTAGAGTGCTCGCCTTGAGCTGAATTGCTAAGGAACAGCACCCAAGCCCAGAGTTCAAGCCAAGCCCCACCACCGATCCAAAAAAAAAAAATTAGAAAGGCAAAGTCAAAGTTCAACAAAATAAACACCAGGAGCAGGGTACTTGAAAGGGGTGGGCTGGGGTCAAGGGGAAAGCTGTAAATGAATGAAGAGGAGAAGAAGGGAGAATCAAGAACAGTGAGGGAAAGGGTAGGAAGGGGAGGAATGGATGACAATGCTGAAAAGGGTAAGATTGATTAAAATATTTTGTATCTTTAGTAAGTGACCAATTGGTTTATTAAGTTGCTTTGTTAAATGACAACTCCTTTGTGCAACTATTTAAAGATAATAAAAACATGTTAAAAAAAAAAACTTTAAAGAACAATCCGTGGGCTGGGAAGGTGCTCAGTGGTAGAGCGCTTGCCTTGCATGCCTGAGGCCCTGGGTTCAATTTCTCAGCACCACATAAGCAAAAAAAGAAAAAAGCCAGAGTGGCACTGTGGCTCAAGTGGTAGAGTGCTAGCCGTGAGCTGAAGAGCTGAGGGACAACGCCCAGGCCCAGAGTTAAGGCCCCACGACTGGACCCCCTAAAAAAAGAACAATCCATATTCTATAAGTGAATTTTGTTGTATATTAATGACTAAAATAGCTTCTGTGCAGGTTTCAAATTCATGAAAGAATATCCTCTTTGCCACATTATATAATATTTATGGCACTAGAGAGCTGGCAGTAAAAGGAAAGTTTTACCAGGAAACAAGAGCTGCCTGAGCCATACCCAGCATGAAAAGGACACCCTTTCAGATTTCCTAAAATACAACCTCCCGGTTTAGGATTTCAGAAGACTATGGCAGCTCAAAATATTTTCCATCTAAGGTGGCTCAGACACAGCCTGCTCTGCCCAACTAAATAATCCACTGATCCACGTTGAAACCATTCATTTCCATGTCTCTACCATCAGCAAAAGGTGAAGCCTGAGTGATCAGACTTACCTCTCCTTTATTTTCTCCAATTATGGTTTAGAGGGTGTGTGTTAGAACTTTAAAATATCAACTAAAAGCGTTTTGTTCAATTTTGCCTTCCTCTTTCGTTTCCACTGATAGAAATAGATTCTCTAAAGTTTAGCTGGCTAGAAAAGATTATTTAATTCTTTCCCCTCAAAAAAAAAGGATTAAGGGGAAACCTATTCAAGAATAATACTCACAAGACAATATGTTGGAAATGATCTGTACAAGTTGTGGGGGGGGGTTAGGAAGGGAGGGAAAAAAGGAGAAAAATGAGGGAAGCAGTGGCAAGTTAGACAAGAAATGTAATCACTACCTTACTTATGTAACTGTAACCCCTCTGTATACCACCCTGACAATAAACTTTTAAAAATAAATAAATAAGTTTTCCAACATAGTTATTTTCTGAGTAAATATCTGTCCAACAGAAAATGCTACAATGAATATTAAACCCACCTTGGAGGACTTATAAAGGGTAACATTAAAGGAGCTATGGGTGGAAAAAATAATAATAATGGGTGAAAAATAAATAATAATTTCTAAGAACTGAAAAAAAATCAAACACAATTGGTTGTACCATACTTGCCTGCTCTCATCTCACTCTTCTTCTAAATGTATACACACACACACACACACACACACCATGCACAAAGATTTCAATGGAGTTTTAAATCACAAAGAAAAAAACAAAACTCAATCCCCCTAAGTCATAGAAAACAACAGGACCAAAAGAATCTTCTTCCTTTACTTAATGGATTAAAAACAACAATAACAACAATATTTGTAGGCCTATCATAGGCATAATTCACATTGCATTTTCTCAAACATATCTTAAAAACACACAAATCCTAATTTTCGTTACACTAATAATTTTTGGGGGGAAGGACATGGAAGCTACTGCAATCAACTATTTAATGTGACTAGGCATGAGTGTTTATGGGAAGCAAATCAATCTTGTGGAATTGCTCCTTAAATTTTACCTTTAAAAAAACTTTGAATTAATAGTAAAGTTGATTATATTTTAGGGGATTTATTATCACCATAGTACATCAACAACTGCTCTTTAAAAATACCCAGAAATCAAATTATATTTCTAAGATTGTCTCCCATACACATAAAACTACACCAAAGTTCATATAGATGCTTAAAAGAGTTGTTGTGGAAGTTTCTTTTTGAAGAACAATGGTTCCTTTCTTCAGAGATGGTCATCCCTTTTTCCATCACCAATGGCTTCCCAAACATCAAAGACAAATTCATCAGGGAATGCAAAGTCTCCTAGAGTCTCATCAACTGCCACCGCAAATTCATCTGGATTACTTTTGTCCTTTCCAGCTTCAAACATTGTAGTAGCTGTCAAAGATAATGGTTGAAACATAACAATAAATGTGATAGCATCAGAGAACTGAGAAAATGGCACCAACAAATTATTTTCCAAAACTAACAGGTCTACCTATATTTCTAGGGCAAAATCCACTTTCACTTATCAACGTAAGACATGTTCAACCATCTGCCCAGAGCATCCGATTTGTAGCTGTCACCACTGCCCTTCCCCAATCTTGGAGCCCATCAGCTGAGAATCTCCAGCGTGGTATGAGTAACCTCCCCTGAAAAGAAGAACACACCACTTCATAATCTCCTCCCTCCCCCACCCTTCTGTCTCCTCCTCACTCCACCAGTCCAGGACTCTCAGTTACAACAGGATCTAATCTTCCCTTCCCCAAAGGAAAAAGCAAAAGCATTACAGCTTGTGACACAGCAATTCCAGATCTACAAGTTGATAGAAAGATATCTCTCCACCCAGTGAAACAAGTTATCTCTTCTGAGCCCCTCTCCAGTTTGGCATAGTCAGTGAAGATGGTGCTGTTGATCTGTCTTTCCAATAAGTTTTCTGAGCCTGCTCATCTACATCAGGGGACCAGAATCTTTAGAAGTACCTATCTCTTTGGTACTTGCCTCAGAACTAGACGCCTATGGAGACCTCCTATGCTGTTGTTTGGGGTTGGTGTGTGTGCTGTTGTTTTATTTTTTTCTTACCTCCCTATAAGCACTAAAAAATCTAAAAGAGACAGTACAATGATAATTTAGGACCTGGGTGAAGAACCTTCCAGAAAGAAAGGGAAATAACAAAGCCCAATACTAAAACTCTAACCTATTCTTGCCTCCAAGGTCAAAGATGTAGTAGTCAAATGAGCCAAGGGTCCAGATGAAAAGAGCAGCAGAAAAGAGCCATTCCTTTTTCCAGTGGTTCAATACCAACACAAAGTAGGCTGGGAGGAAAGATGGAGAGGAGGCTCACAGAAAGGCACCCAGTCTGTGCAGAGGTGGGGCCTGGGTGGGTCATGTGTTTCAGGGATCCATGCTCTGGTGAGGTTGATGGTAGCCTGATGTGGGAGAGAGAACAAGAGAGTGAAGAGAAGAGGCAAGGAATAAAGAGAGCAGCTACATCCAGGGGTGTGGACTCCAGAAGCACACCTCTCCATCACAGTCAGAGAAGGACAATAGGGAGAGAGAGAGAACAAGAAAGAATCTTGGAATCAGGATGATTGATAACCCACAGAAATGCAGACTGAGTTTCCTTTATCCAAAATGTTTGGGACCAAAAATATTTCAGATTTCAGATTGCTCTTCAGATTTTGGAATATCTGTTATAAACAAGATAAAATTACTTTGTGATTGGAACCCACGACTAAGCACACAATTTATTAATGTTTCACAGCCACTTCATACACATAGCCTGAAGGCAATTAATCTGGCATTTTAGTATACCTGTATTTTGATTATGCTCCATTCTGTGAGACCAGGTATGGAATTTCCCACTTGTGGAGTCATCTGAGCCCTCAAGAAGTTTCAGATTTTGTAGTATTTAAGACTTTGGGATTTCAGATGAGGGATAGTCAACGTGTGTGTGTGTGTGTGTGTGTGTGTGTGAATTAAGTGATGTAAATGCATATTCTCTCTTCTCTCTCTTTTTCTCTCCCTTCCTCCCTCCCTCCCCTGCCTTTTTCCTCTCTTTCCTGAGTCCTGGAATGCTTGATACCCCAATACCAATAAACAGACAAAGCACTCAGATCTTAGTTCCTATACATCATTTTGCACTAAAACAAATTGATATTCCTCAGAGACATAGCTGATTCCAGGCTGGAGCAGGCAAGATGAAACAGGAACCAAGAGCATTTCATTCCACAAAGTTAAAAAAAAAAGTATGACAATAACAAACAAGTCAGAGTAAAAGAGCTGTCACTGACCAAACCAAGGATAAAGTGAGCAGAAAAATAAGTAGTGATAAAACTACACCAATGGAGTTCTAGTTTTAACAGGAGAAACATGTATCCATTATAAAAATAATTGTCAAATATTTGAAAAGGAGGAAAGAAGGGAGGGAGGGATGGAACTGATTCATGAGGAATGGCAGTTTGAATAATTTCAAAATATCTCCTCACCTAAAGTCATCAAAGGGACCATTAGTCGGAAAACCAGTTAAAAGCCTGCTCCCCTAACAAGATGTGATAGAAAGAATACAGCGTTGAAATTCATATTCCTCGTGAATTCGCTGTTTTTGAGCCTCTCAACAGCCATTTCACACCTTTACCTTTCAAGGTGTCTTGTGGTGTAACCAGAACTTAAAGGAAAACAGGAAATCAGGGAATCTGGGACCAGGCATAGTTGAATATACCTATAATCGCAGTACTTAGAAGGCTGAGAAAGAGAACTTTTAAGTTCAAGGAAGGCCAGCCTTGAGCAAATTTGAGGTCAACCTGGGCACCACAGACAGAATTCTACACAGTCTAAGTACACAGTGACTTCTACAAGTCAGATGAGAAGAAAAAGTATTATATACTGGACATTACATTCAGTTTCAAAAGAGACTTTTTATATCCATGATTCTTCATTTTTCTACTACAAAAAAATAATGGTACCTCTGTTCACCATACTTTACATTCACGCTACCATTGAACTCAGGCTAATTTGGAATCAGAGGTTGCTTCAAGCAGGACTCAAATATGTCTTGTTTTGTTGCTTGAAGTAATGCCAGAGATTGCATGAATAGCACTTTGCATTATACAAAGTCTAAATGCTGATTTGAGGTTTTATTTTGTTTTTTGTTTTGTTTGCTGGGCTTGGTGCTTGAACTCAGGGGCTAGGCACTGTACCTGAGTCTCTTTGTGCTCAAGGTTAGCGCTCTACCACTGGAGCCACAGAATTTTTTCTGAGTACTGGAAAAAAAGAGTCTCACAGACTTTCCTGTCCCGGTTGGCTTCAAACTGTGATCCTGACCTTAGCCTCCTGAGTAGCTAGGATTACAGGTATAAGCCACTGGTGCCCATCAAAATGTTGATTTTTTTTTTGAGGTAGCTTTTTCTCTCAATAAATCATGATCTTAATTGTGTTGGATATACCACCATATACCTCAATTTGCCATAAATCTTTTTAAAACCAGCAATTTTCTATATAAACTCTTAAGAATGCAATGTATACTTGCATGTTATGAATCTTTTCTAAATCTTTAAATTATAAATATAATTTTTAAGCATCATCACAGGAAAGATGAATAGAAAAGTTTTACCCTTTTTTTTATTTTTTTCTTGGGGGGGGGTCCAGTCATGGGGCCTGAACTCTGGGCCTGGGCGCTGTCCCTCAGCTCTTCAGCTCAAGGCTAGTGCTCTACCACTTGAGCCACAGCGCCACTTCCA